GGTTACTAATATCGTTTAGTGCGTTCAATCGCCGTTGTTAATGTCTGCAACTGAGAGGAAAGAAGAGCCACAAAACTTCGACTCAAAGCTTACACTTACTATGTTCGACGAGAATATACGTGAGTTTTACAAAATAAGGTTAAAAGATTAAGATGGAAAGTTCTTTCACAGGACTTTAGTTTTTTATTATGAATCTCACATCGTTCTTCACATGCGGACTTCCTTATCTGGAAGGATTTACCAACGTGTAGGGGAGAACAGTCACCACAGCTCATTCATCAAAAGGAGCTATTTTGATTTTTATCATTCACCGTTTATTTCGAGAAAAAGACAAATGAGCAAGCAAATGAAGCATAGTTAGATGAAACTATATTGAGTGAAGTGTCTTCTCTATGAGTTTAGTTAAAGAAAAGTTCCAAAACATTAACATGTGTTCAGAAATACTGATACAGTGCCCATATAATGAGCGGTCACGACGTCAAGTCGACCATCATTATTGAAATCATAGAGAGCCAATGATGTCGGATTATAATCTATAACAAAAGACCACCATTCGAAGAAAGAGCCTGTTCCATCACCAAGAAATATAATAAAATAATTAAAAGAGGTCCCGACAGCAGCGACATCCAAGTAAGTATCACCATTCAAGTCACCTATTGCAACTCCATACGCACAGCTTCCAATTATGTAGCTGACAGCTGCTCGAAAAGTGCCATTACCATTACCGAGTAGCACACTGATCGTACCATTTGCACAGTTCGATGCGACCAGATCCATGTGATGATCACCATTCAGATCACCTACAGCCAGTCCCCACGGATTGGTCATGATGGCATAGGATGTTCGCGAGCGAAAAGTACCATTGCCATAGCCTAGATGAATACTCACACTACCACTGCCATAGTTGGTGACAGCGAAGTCTAAGCGATTATCATGATTGAAGTCAGCTACAACAGCTGTGATTGGATAGACGGATGTAGTAAAAGTTTTCTGTGGTGCGAAACTGCCATTACCATAACCGAGAAGAACACTGACAGTATTGGCGGCATTATTCGTGATCAACAAGTCAAGACGTTGGTCACCATTAAAATCTCCGACAGAAACTATCGCTGGATAACTGCCCACTGCAAACGAGTTTTGTGAAAAGAAAGTACCATTGCCCATACCGAGTGAAATGCCTACACTGTTATTGCCATAGGCAGTGACAACTATATCTGCACAGTTATCTCCGTTGAAGTCATTGACAGCAACTGCATATGGATTTGTGCGAGTTATGAGAATTGATCCTAAAAAGAAATTTCCATTGGCATCACCTAGTAAAACATAGATTTTGTTGTCGTCGAAATTGGGAACAATAAGATCCATCCGATTGTCGCCATTGAAATCACCGAGGGAAATTCCAAAACTGGTATTTTCAAAGCTATATGAAAACTGTTGGTTGAATGACATATTACGGCAGACGTTACCTAGAATCAATGAGCATTATTACCGTTGAATTGAACATATATCAGAGAGGAAACTCGCCTATATTAGGGGAATACCAGTCCTTCGTAATGGTCATCAGTCTAGTTTCAATCTACGTTGAGCGCCGAAATTAATGTTAGGAATATCTTTTTAAAACTAGTGAACAGCAAATGAATTCTTTTTTACAGCGATATGATCGAAGAACCAAAAAATGACATTTTCTTCAAGTTAATCTGTTTCTTTCCAATCCTGAGTAAGTTTCATACAATGCAAATTTTTACACTACACAATGGAAGTTATACAATCGATGGATCTTTACTTGACACGCCATTCAACTACTAATGAATCATGACCTTTAGAACACTCATCTAACTATACCGATACATTTTATATTCTGCTTGCACTCTGTTTAAATCGGGAGAAGCTTCTTAGAAGCTAACTCATTTTTCTATTAGCACCTGAACGTTAGCTACTTCAATCTTCACGATAATCACATAAACCTGCTTTCCCTTTACACATTTAGTGTCTGTTCGCACCAATATATATACTCACGCGGGATGTTCGCAGTGATAGTGCTCGTGGTCATTGTCCATGTTGCAGTAGTGGTAGTGCTGCTGATCGTCGTCGATATTCCGCTAGTAGTAGTGCTGCTGATCATTGTTGGTGTTGCAGTAGTGGTGGTGCTTGTGATCGTTGATGTTGCAGTAGTGGTAGCGCTGGTGATCGTTGATGTTGCAGTAGTAGTAGTATTGCTGATCATTGTTGGTGTTGCAGTAATGGTAGTGCTTGTGATCGTTGATGTTGCAGTAGTGGTAGTGTTGGTGATCGTTGATGCTCCTGTGCTAGTTGAGATGTAGATCGTCGTTGATGTCCCAATAGTAGCCGTGGTGCTGATGATTGTCGATGTTGCATTAGTGATAGTGCTGCGTACCGTTGCTGATGTTGCAATGCTGGTGATCATTGTTGGTGTTCCAGTAGTGGTAGTGCTGAGGATCGTCGTGAATGTCCCAGTGGTGCTGGTACTACTAATCATTGCTAGTGTAGCAGTAAAGGAAGCACTACTACTGAAAATGGTTGATGAAGTATCTAAAATGTGTCAAAGAACCCATAACCTGAGGAGATGTTGTGTCATGGTCTGATGTCTGCTCTAAGCTGACTCTTTCTACTGACCTGTCGAAATCATCGTGTCCTGTGTGACGTTGACAGTCGCTGTTGACGCGATTGATGCTGTCGTTATTGTTGTTGCTTCTAACATATACAACACATAGATGATGTCCGAGAGCGTAAGTGCCGAATGGGATCCTATCGGATTTTATCTGATCCGACAGGATCCAACGCGGGCCACCAGTCAGGTCACTCGTCCTGCGTTACTGAGATCGAGATCAACCCGTCGGATCCGATAAGATCACCAGACTATCCGACGATATCTAACAGTTGGCATCTCATAGGATACAAATGTCGAAAACCATCAATATTCATTGATTTTCAACAATTTCCGACTATCGGATACTATTGGATTCCGTTGATAGGATTCGATCATGTTCGACAATGGGAAGTCGCCGGATCCAACAAAATCCGATAGTATGAAAGTATCTAGTTTTGTCTGTGTTTTGTTATTGGATGAGATGCGAAATAAATTATAAGATATTGATGAAAATGTGACATTGTTTTTATTTAACTCAACTAAAACCGTTAGTATTTATTAATGACTATTTGCAGGGACGATAAGACAATAGAATTGATTGAGCAGCTATTACAAATTACCTTTCCTAATTTTTTAAAATTTTAGATTCTATCATATTCTATTGATTTACCAAGCAGTAAACTATTTAATTATTTTAATATTTCAGATCTGACGAGATTATGACATTAGGTTACTAATAAGTGGGCATAAATTATTTGTTTCACTGTGTTATACTTTAGATAAGAATACAGCAACAAATTAACGAATAGGAAATTATCTTCTCTTTTTGTTTATATACCAACGAAGAATAAATTTAAGAACAGTAAATTAGCTATTCTTTTATTTTATTTTTCAATTCAGTTTTGACGATGGAATCCAATCAATCAAAAGCGAATATAGATTGTCTTTGTTTTGTTATATTATTTTAAATTGCATCATACGATTATTTCAATGGAAATAAAAATATCTTGTCGATTATGTTTATCGAGTTTGGCTATGTTATACCGTCAAGCAAATAAACAAGGAATACAATTATTTTCTTATTACTTTTTATTTTACAATTCTATACAGGACCGACTTAATGAATAGTAAGTTTTTTTTCTCTACAGTATATTTTTCTCTTCGTCTAAATCAAAACTTAGCATGAAATCAACAAACAGTAACTCTTTTCTAATTTCTTTTTTCAAGTTACACTTTATGAAGCCATCAAGAAAATCAACAGTGAATATAAAAGTATTTGTTTTTATTTTTATTTTGGATTATAGTATAAGACTAATTCAGCGAATGTTTTATTTTGTTCGCTTGCTCTTTGTCACATAATGAAAGGTGCGAACTTTCTGTTGAAGTTCGAATAAATATCTAATTAAAGTTTTTTCCATTATCACTGTAAATAAGAAGAGATGCGAAAGAGAATTATGTATACAGTTTTACAAGGAAAAAGCAAAGTATGGAAATTCGTAGAATATTCAGAATTATTTCAGCTAGACTATGATTCATTGCGAGAAAGCTTTGAGTTTACAAATTTTCAAGAACCATGGCATCTTCTGGAATTTTTGAAAGTAGACCGAATGTCTAAAAATGTACAAGTGAAATTTTTGACCCTTAGAAAATTTCCTTTTCGCAATCATGAATGTTGCTGTAGATGTGTGCACTTGAATACGATTTCAAAAGATTGCCATTGATCGATGCAGATACGTTTATCTTTCTGTCCTAGAACGTCGTATACTATTTCTTGTCCTTCCGATACTCCTTTTCTTTCTTTTCGTAACCGGGTATTAATTAAATAGAAGAGACAGCATAAACGAGGGTGAAGTTTCTTCGTTGTACA